AGTTATAAAACTGTTTTTACCAATATAAAAAAGACAATGTGGCAATACAACGATTCGTTACAACAGCCCAATGGCAACGCATCATTATTAAAACCCCCGGACTTGGGATCGAATCCTAGCTACTCCATATGCACACACATTTTTAATTTACTCTCCACATGAGTTTATATAAAAACGTTACGTATCAGATGACAGATAATACAACATACCACAATAGAACAGCCCTTGCTATAAGAGAACCAGTCTGGGGTTCGAACAAAAGGCCGATCATTTTAAACTTTTTTTTATGTTCGTGACAGAGTGGTCACAATTTTGTGACGCATATATAGTCGTCACATATTCGTTATACATTTGTGACTATATTCCGACAGTTTAGCAACCCTAGCTATGAATTTATAGAAAATTACAAAGTTTGAGTATTAAAATGTCAACTTTTCCTAATGTAAATTGATAAATTAGAGTAGGAACATTATATTTACCATTAGGACACTTGAAATTTTTAATTTTCAAAATATACAAAAAAGTCACAATGCTTCATCAACTTTGATCATAAACTCATGTATGATTTCAATTTACATTTTTGAAATCATTAGGTTTTGATGAAAATGTACTTTACAAGTTAAAAATCACTCAATATACTTACCAATAAGATCACAAGTATATGAAAAAGAGATCGGGAAGAGATTTGGCACACAATTATGAGTTTAAATGTTTGGGGTATAGGGTTTCAAGTTGTGACCACAAAGAGAGTCAGGCAATAGTCGCAAATTTAGAACGCTTGAGCAACATTATTGTGACGGATTTGTTGTTCTGACACTTTTGTGACCATTTTTCATTTCGGATTGTGAAACATTTGGCCCATTTCGCAAAAAATTTTGGGCCTTTGGGCGCCTAAAATTCCCTCCAAAACATAATCAGTGACGGTTTTGCGACGGATTAGCCACGCTTACTGTAAACAAATAGTCAAACACCGAAACCTAATTTTATTTTACCCTGAACCCTTTTTTTCTTCTCTCGACTCGATGGCGACAAAATCGCCTCTCCGTCGATAAACTCGATTTTTCCCGATCAAATTGCCTCCTTCTTCTCTATTCTCTCTCTTTTCTGATCAATCGCTTCCTTCTCTGTTACTCGAACCCAATCGGTTCGATTTCTCTTCTTCTTCTCCAAACCCTAACTTTTCTTCTTCATCGCGACTCTTCATTCCTTTGAATCGTGATGTGTAAACACATGGCTAATAGAAATAAAGGTCAAGCCGCCGCCACCGACAGTGGTGGTGGAAGAGAAAGAGACCGATCTGGTGGTAGAAGAGACACGTCTGTCTCTCGTGAAAAAGGAAAGGGCGTTGCCCCCGCACTATCCGACGGCTCTGGTGGTTCACTGACCGTTAGTGGTCGTGGAGGAGGAACCGCCGGAAGTGGTGGAAGAGGAACCACCGAAAGTGCTGGACGAGGAACCACCGGAAGTGGTGGAAGAAGAACCACCGGTTCTCGTGGAAGAGGAGCCGTCGGTTCTCATGGAAGATCAACAGTCGTCGGTTCTCGTGGAAAAGAAACCGCCGGAGTTCCAAGCTCCACTGATGCAGGCAGTTTTGGCTCCAAACGCCGAGCCGCTTTTCCCGTCGACAGTGGTGGTGGGTCCAAACGCACTGGTGTGGAGCCGACGCCGGTGCTTCTACATCCAACGGCGGTGTACATGGTGGCACTGATGTATCTGTCGGCGTAGGGACCAGCGGTGGTAGTCCCTCTCAACGAACATCCTCCGCCTCACTAAGAAGAGTCTATTTGGTAAGTGTTTCCTTATTTGCTATACTAATTTGATCAATATATGTTTGTCTAAGGTTCGATTGGGATAATGGTAAATTGGGTCGTGTGATCCCTGGAATTCTGCGTGATAAGTTTGATGGACCTTACTACAGCTGGAAGGTTACTCCTAGACACGTCCAAGAACGAATTTTCAGAACCTTTGCGGTAAAGTTTTGAGTTATTGTTATCTTCTATTTAACTTGTTACTTTCTTTGACATGTCACCACTAACACATTCTCATGTTTTCTGTAGCGGATGTACCACTGGGATGTTGGACTCACTCCAACTGTTAGGAAGCATTTCTTGGCCATTGCAAAGAAGAGATTGAGAGGCATTGTTAGTCAGGCTAGGCATGGCTCTAAAAGGCCATATTGGATTGGACCAAAGCTTTGGAAAAGGATGAACTAGTTTTGGAAGACTCCTGAGGCCCAGGACAAGAGTGATACTGCTTCACAGTGCTGCAACTCTGATCGTGGAGGGCTAGGCATCACGAAGCAAGTATCTGGTCAGAAATCGTACTTGAGAGTGCAACAAGAAATGGTAATACCTCTACACTTCCTCACTGCTTTTACACTAACAATGTCTCTGATAAATAGTGTAAATATAATGTAGTCGTATAACATCTCTTTATATTTACACTAACGCTCTCTCTTACTACTATAGGAGGAGGAGTTTGGTCGTCCTGTATCGTGGGGAGAAGTGTTTCAAAGGACTCACACAAAGCCAGATGGAACATTTGTTGATTTCAAAGCTCAACAAGTTCATGAGGCTTATGAGAAGCAACTGAATGAAGCTATGCCGGAGGAAGATCTTCAAGGGTCTGGGATATTAGGGAATTCTTCTCAACGCTCTACCCAGCGGACACTAACCATCGAGGAAAAGAATGAGATATTCTGCAAGGTATTCTCCTTTCTCTTGTGCTCTCTGCTATACTGGTTTTTTGCAGTTTGAGTTTCATTCCTCATGTCTTTGGTTAACTGGTTTTAGAGTTTGAGTTTGGTTCTTCTTGTCTTTGGTTTTGAATCATTGTAGAATGGTTGATTAGTTTACGGTTTTAGAGTGTGATTCCTTCTCTCTTTGGTTTTGAGTCATTGTAGAATGGTTGATTAGTTTGAGAATTTGATTCCTCCTGTCTTTGGTTAACAGTTTGAGTTTGATTCCTCATGTCTTTGGTATTGAATCATTGTAGAATGGTTGATTAGTTTAC